TTAAGTTGACAATTAAATGTGAAGTTGGTCCTAGTTTACATCTTACAGAGGGGAGTGCACTGGTGTCTGCTTCATGTACCTGAGTATCTTGAGCCACTTCAGCAAAAGCTGTTTTTTACAGGTGAAGTGAAAAGTTGTTATTTCAGGTTACAGGTGTTTGGCAGACCTGGCACATTTGCTCTGTTAACTCAGAGACTTGCTCCAGAAATCTGAAGTCAGTGCTGTGCATCCTTCTGAAGCTGGTGCGTCTCTCAGACACCTGGAGGGGGAGAGCACAGTTTCTTGTGCTGTTAGTCATCTATGGTGTCAGGTATTTTTGCAGAACATGTGCACAACCCTGAATTACCTTTAGTCTTGGCAGGTAAGTTTAAGGGTACTTTCGATCTATTTATATTGAATTCACAATTTATGCCTATACTTGTTGGATGATTTAAAATTTTAAATCTCTTACATTGAAAAAGATTGAAGTTCACCTTGAAGAAAGCATTGAGGTGTGCATAGAGGTGATTTATTTTTTAAACCTAACACCCAACCTAACATAGGGAAGGGAGTGCATAACCAGGTATGAGCTGTGTCAGAAGCATAATTGTAAAAAGGGTAGACTGTCTACATATGCAAGTATGTTTTCGTATCTATTTCCTCACCAGATGTGGCATTTTTTTTTTCCTTCTAAGTCTCAGCGTTGTAATTCTCAACCAGAAATTTAAGGCTTTCTAAAATGTTTTTTAAATTTAATTTGTGCTTTTGAATTTCAGGAGAAAGTAATTATAATCTAAGAAAATACTCACTTAAAAAGACCATTATGGATCCCAAACACTTGGGGTTGACCCTTTCTCTTTCATATGAGCCTCGAATGAACATCTGGAGGCAGAGTATGATGCACAGACAGGTAGAAAAGCACCACACCTGGATTCCACTCGGTTTTTGAAACCTGTTTTTTTGTAACAAGATTGTTGCCATTTTGTTGGAGCTTCCCTTGCTGTTTGTAAATTGAGAGAGTGACTCTCAAGGGATACTTTTTTCTTTTAATCTGGTATGAATCAATAGCTGGATATTTAATTGCCATTCTTTCTAAATCATGGGGACAAAAGTGTGTAAAATGGAAACAAGTCTCCTGTATTCTAGATACTTTAAATACAGGAGGCCTTTGTAACTTAATTGCCTATAGTCAACCACTGGATCTCAGTTTGCATCAAGTATTTTAAATAATTCTGAATTTTAAAAAATATATTGCAGTAGTATGTCATTACCTTATTGTTAAACTGAATCAGATAAAGAAATCTTCAGTTCCTAGTTATTTGGGCCATTGAATCATCATGGACTGTATAATACAATCAGATTATTTTATTTCTAGACATTCTTGAATTACACCAAAGAACCTGAAATCTAATTTTGGTTAAGTTATTTATTTATTTCATGCACCCATTTTATTTCCCTTTTTAAGGTCTGGATGAGACTTCTTTGGGAAGCTTCTAAAAACTTCTTTGGGCTAGGTGGGGCATTAGAAGCCAGGGCACTCCTCCTCCGGGCTCCTTCCCAGTGTCTAGAGGTGCTGTAGAAACCATAGATCCAGCCAGGGGCTTCCCTAAGGCAGTGCAGAGCCGGGCCAGGGGGCCAGTAGGCAGGCCCTAATTAAGTTTAAAAAAAAAAAAAAAAATCTATGTATTTATTTTAGAATCATGTCTTTCTGTATATTAACTTGGAGAATATCAGTTAATATTTAGGATATAAGATTTGAGGTCAGCCATTTTCCAAAAAAGATAAGCCAAAAAAAAATTGTTTTTAATGTCCTGACTTAAGAAAGTACAAGTGAACTATATACATCTTTTTTTTTCCCCCATGAGTTTTAGGAACTAGTGATATGGCTTAGAAAGTTTAATGGCCTAAATGTTTTCAAAATGTAAGTTCATGTGGAAAAGAATTTTATTTGGGAGAAAACCTATAGGTTTAAAATAGTATGTCAGCCAACTGATTTAAAAGGCCTTTGAACTGCTTTGTTTTTGAACCCACCCTTGTCTTCCTATGAGGAAGAACTGAAAGGGGACACTTCTTTGTGTGAAATCTCAAACTGGTGTTGTTGACTTCTGAGCTTGAACATTTTCAGACCTAATTCAAACTTGGTTTATTCTAATTTCTGTATCAAAGGAGGTTTAAGTGGTAACTAGTCTTATAACATGTATGTATCATATGTTTGTTCATTTAAAGCTTTTTAATCCAAATAAAAATGGAGTTTGCAAAGTGATTTGGATTAACCAGGTTTGGTTGTTCTGTTTAAGCTTGTGTCAGATGTTAGGTTCAAGCAGAGTTAATTCCTGCAAGCCTTGATTCTATGCTGACAGGGATATATAGCTGCCAATTTAAAGCTCCTCAGGTGGAGGCAAAAATCAGTGAGCAGACCCTGGTTCAGGGCTCAGACTGCGTTAGCACAGGCTGAATGCAGTCACACTGCAGCTGGACATGCCCCACGAGAAGCCTCTCAGGCAGGCAGTCAGGGAATTCCTAACATGTCCTCATCGTGGGCAGAAATACGGTTGAAGTTAAAATTGTAGAGTTACTGATGGTGGAAGGTAAGGAAAGCGTGTCTTGTATCATAAAGCCGTGTAAGCCCTTTCAGACAGCTGTCTGTGGCCGGAAGAGACCAGTGGCCCAGGTATGTCTTCAACATGCTTATAAGCTCTTAAAAACATGACCACACTTTTAATAGAAGTGTTGGTAAAATCAACCAACTGTTTTCCTCTAATATCACTTTGCAAATCCCTGTGGCTCTGTACCCCTGAGTGTTCGGGGCTGTACTGCCCTCTGTGCTCACGAGCATACTTTGAATAATCACTGATGAATAGTTGAACATTCCCACTGAACACTGTGAGCAAACAAATACTGCTGAGTGTTACTCTGTTCCTTTTTTGTTTGCAAGTGTGCTAGATCAGCTGAATGAAAGTTCAGAACTGAACAAATGAATAGACTTCTATCCCCAGAATAGATGCGGCATTGATATCTTGTGGGTTGCACATAAATGTGACAAGAAATTCCAAATTTAATGCACATGTGTAAAGAGTACGAACTGACACTGTACTGCTTTTCTAGGAGAGAATTGCTTTGAAAAACACCATGGCCCAAATGTGGGGTAACTTGCTGTGAAAAATTCAGACTTAAAAAAGGAGAGGGAGATCAATGTGTTTAAGTTTTAACAGCTGAGATGTAGGCAAGACTTCCAGAATAGAGGGCAACCCTCTTGGGTCCCCTCCCTCCCCGGGAGCTTTGTACTGTCACTTTGCTATCACTCAATAAACCATGCTTTGCTGCAAAAAAAATTAAAAAATAAAAAGACTTCCAGAATAGGACTGTTAGACGGATCAAAATAGTAGCCCTCATTTATTGAGAATTTACTGTGTACCTAAGTAACTTTCCCTATCAATTCATTTGATAAAGTGAAGCTCCAAAGCCCACATTCTTTACCCAACACCATAGTGGAAGTAAATTTCAAGCAATAAATGCTAATTCAATTTTTGTCATTCTAGAAGTACGGTTTTTAAAATACATGTTATTAAGTGTTTTGCCTTGTAGTTTACACTAGGAGGCACTGCAGTTCTGTAATCAGCATATAAGAGCATTGCTCTTTACATTATTAAAGTTCCCTTAATAGTTCCTGTATTTAGTAAGTCAGGCAGAGTCATATTCTGTACTAGGAGGGTTAAAATTTGTTTTGAGGCGAAGTTAAAAAGCTTTCACCTCAGTTAACAAAGGTTAGTTTTTACTCTCTAGCATCCAAACTAATGTGCTCTGAAAGTATCTTCAATTTAATGCAGTAATTGCTTTGCCAGTCTCCTTGCCTTGAAGTGAGACATTTCTTCAAAGTTTTGTTGTCCTTCAGTAAATGAGCACTCTGATACATATTTTTTTAAAAAAAGAAGAAAACTCTTAAGGAAGGTTAAACATGAATTTGTAGCTGGTGATTCTCTCTGGGGTGCAGACAGGAAGGTGGGCCAGGGAGGGACCCACAGCAGACACAGAAGTTAGCTGACGGTTTTATTAGTATTTACAACTTGCCTTTGAAAAAGGTGTGTAAGTTACATAGTCTCTGTATATAATATCAATACTAAACTAAAACTGGGGTGGGGGAAACATGGAATAAGGCTATATAACTGGGAGAATCCTACCACAATTTAATTCCTTATGCTGCAGTCTAACCACTAAAATGCCTATGAGGTTAGGTTCACCAGGAACTCTCTAGTTCACACAAGTGCACAGGAAAACCTCCTTCCTCTCCCTGGTCTTCACACTCAAGCCATCTCTGAGCAATGACTCTCAGCTGGTGCAGGTAGCGCTTGAAGGAGATCTGAGTAGTCAGTGGCTCGCTATTTATACTGAATTGGTTCTAAGATCAGTGAACTAGCTTAAATTAGAAAAAACCCTAGAAAAACTTGGAACATATGTTTGTGGCAGAGATCTTTTAACTTGAGAATACCCTGTGGCCTTAAGCATCTCCTTCTGTATATTCATGAGCAATTGTTAGAAAGCGTTTGAAACTTAGCCTTCTTTAATAGAGAGATGTTCTTGATTAAATAGATGTTGGATGTAGTTACCAAGCATGGATTAAAAGAAAAAAAAAATGGATAAAGCCTTTGTTTTTTCTATCAGCTGACCCAAACTTATTGTGGGTCAAATTACAAAATCTCTCTGAACCTCTTAGCTGAAGTCTGTGGTTGTTTTATGGTTTTGCTTTTCAGTGTGAAGGTTCGTTTTCTTAGGGAAGAAGCAGTGTCTTTATCTTTAGCAGCTGGATGAAAGCACATCTTCATCACAGACAGGTGTGAAGCCTGTCCCCTCTGGAGTCCTCGTGGAGGTCCAGCCCTTGTATGTTAGTAGGGACAGGCAAAGGAAGGGGTTATTTCTGTTCACAAGAGCACCTGACTGGGGTAACGTGTGGTCAGGAATTCCCACCACCCTCGCAAAATGGTGACAGACTGGTAGCTGGCAGAAATGTAATCTGCATAATTATCCTGGTTTAAATAATCTTGTAATAGAGATCTTACTTTTACGTCCATGATTAAATCTGAATTCTGAGAAAAGGAAATTAAGGTTATCAGTTTGTTGCCTGAAACAAAAGACTTCACAAACAATTCAGACTGTACTAAAAAAGCATCCTGCTTGATCCTTGAATTGTTTAAGAAATATTTCATGGAATAGATTCAGTGGGCAGGTGTTTCAGGAGGAAATAGTTCTTCCGTAAGTGCTGTCCAACAGTGACTTGGGAAGTATTGAAGCAGACAGGAAAATTATAAAAATTCTTTGTAAAGGCAGTTCGGAATAAGAAAAAGAGATCTGAAAAGTACATTTTCAAAGGAGTTGAAATCAGTAGTGAAATTTCATATTCACTTTATTGACGGCTGAAGTTCAGTCTCTGATGCATTTTCCAGCCTTCTCTGATACTGTCGTTCTGAGGCTTTTCTACGGTAGACATCATCTGTGTCAAATAAGAATTTTACTTAGACTTTGAAGAAACAGGAATTAAAGGTACTCAGATGGGACTAATTTAACCAACAGTCTAGGTCTGTCAGCTATTTCTGAATCTCATTTTTAACAACGCCAAAATAAACTTCATTTAAAACAAAACTTGGGGGCGCCTGGGTGGCTCAGTCGTTAAGCGTCTGCCTTCAGCTCAGGTCATGATCCCGGAGTCCTGGGATCGAGCCCCGCATCGGGCTCCCTGCTCACCGGGGAGCCTGCTTCTCCCTCTCCCACTCTGCCTGCTTGTGTTCCCTCTCTCCTGTCTCTCTCTCTCTCTGTCAAATAAATAAATAAAATCTTTTAAAAAATAAAAAAAAATAAAACAAAACTTGGGGGCGCCTGGGTGGCTCAGTTGGTTAAGTGGCTGCCTTTGGCTCAGGTCATGATCCCAGGGTACTGGGATCGAGTCCCACATCCTGCTCCTTGCTCAGTGGGGAGCCTGCTTCTCCCTCTGCCTGCCGCTCCCCCTGCTTGTGCTCTCTCTCTCTGACAAATAAAATCTTTAAAAATAACGAGTTAAATGAGGACTATGATAATGCAGTTCTGGACTTCAATAGCATGGTAAGAGTCCATATCTTCAAAGATAGGATCATGTCCTAGCACACCTCTTAGCAATGTTTTAAGACTTTCCTTACTTCCTTCCCTGCCCCCCCATGTCTATTTTCTCTGAAATCATCTTTTTTTTTTTTAAGATTTTTTATTTATTCATTCCAGACACAGAGATACAGAGAGAGAGAGGGAGAACATGAGTAGGGGGAGAAGCAGAGGGAGGGGGAGAAGCAGGCCCCCCGCCTAGCAGGGAGCCCGATGCGGGGCTCGATCCCAGGACCTTGGGATCATGACCTGAGCCCAAGGCAGACGCTTAACCATCTGAGCCACCCAGGTGCCCCGCTCTGAAATCATCCTTAAGTGAAGTGCCTCAAAGGCACTTCTTGCCCTTAGGCTCTCTGCAGCTCCCTCACCCACACCCAGGAACTCAGAGTGGGGAGGTGAGGTCAGTTGCCTTGGTCTCCGCTGTTTTTCCACACCGCTGATTCTGCACCCTCTTCCTGTGCGGCATTTGCCATTTGCCACAGTCTTCTCTGCATGGGCACCTGCTCTCTATTCCCCTTCAATCACTGAAAACACGGGCATCTAGCTCAGGCTCCTTGACCTGTCCTATACCATCTTCCCAGGCAACATCACCTACCATACGGATGAAGCGCTAGCCCCCTTCACCTCCTTGACTTCTCCAGTCAACTTCTGCCATCTACTTGCAGTGCTCTCTGAAGTAATAAATTCATCCTGCTCTGCACAACCTCTACTACCTTTCTAGTCATTCTGTCCTTGGACCTCTGTTAACTTCTTCCTCAGGCACTTGGCCCCTGAATACCGCCTCAGCCCCATCTTGTTCTGTCTTCCTGCTCAAACCAGCTGCAATTCCCTCCTATCAACATCAACTTCTTGACACACCTTCAAAACCCCAACTACAGATTCATCCAACTGCCCTCCTCCATCCCTCCACTCTGCTTTGCACTGTGGGGCCAACTAATGCATTTAACTGGGCCCACTGTGATGCCTAACAATCCTGTTTCCTCAGTCATAACCCTGATCCTTCTTCACTTACCCCCAGATGGCCATGAACTTTGGTCACACAGATCAGTCATCAACAAAGGACTATTCCAGCTAACTTCCAAGGGCTACTCCTATGGCCCTGCTCTCCTACCCAACCTCTCCTACCTTCCAAAGAACTAGTTATCTGCGGCTTCTCTCCACTACCTTTTTCTGACCAGCATCTTTGTATCTTCAAGTCTCTTTGGTGGGGAGGAGGGCTGACCTCCCATTCGCAGAGTCAGACTTCCTGGACCTCCCGTCTTCTGTGATAAACCCTCCTGGTTCTCCTCCTTGCCTCTCTAGTCACTCCCAATCACCCTTAAAATGTTGGGATTTGACACTGACTTTTATCACAATCTGCTTTCAAATGACCCACAAACCCAGATCCATGGCCCAGATCTGCCTCCTGAGCTTCAGATCTGTATAACCCATCTCTGCCTTAGCATGTCCAAAACGGAGTTCAGACTATCCTGCCAGTGTCCCCCTAACTGTCCTACCAGAAGCCTCCACTCCTCATCTCCTGAGTCCACTCAATCCCCAGGCCCTGTCAGTACCACCTCCCACGTGTCTCTCAACTCCAGTCACCTCTTGGCATCCCGTCTGTCCCCATCCAACCAGGCTACCGTCTCAGACCTGAACAACCACACAGTCTAAGTATCCTTGCCTCCTCTCCACAAGAAGCCATTCTCCTCATGTGTTAATCCACTGCCAATTAAAACCCTTCAATCCTTTGGGTACATTCTTGGTTCTCCAGTCCTTCTGTGGCCCTGCCAGGCACATTTCTAACCACTTCATCCCTCCCTCTGCTCACCTGCAGTCCCTCCAACACAGTAAACATCCACACCATAGCCCCATGTCTGCTTTTACCACTAGCATGAGACACTTTCAACTCAGCACTAACATTCCCCTCATCGGACTGACCTACTCAATCTTCAGGTCCCACCTGACATGGTAACTCCTGGATGCCTTCCCTGTACCATCTGATCCAACTGAGGTACCCCCACCCAAGACTACCATTGCCCCACACATGCACACACAGACACACTTCACTGCACTGATCACACTTAATAGTAACTGTCTTTATGTTGGGTCTCTGCCATTAGAGCTCTTTTGGAGTGGGGGGCTCTCTGCCTTGTTCATTATATACTCTCATGGGTGCTCATTAAATACTGATGAATGGATAAACAAAAGACTAAATATCTTTGGAAAACACTAATGTAACAATGTTTTCAAAATAAAGGTGGGTGGGGGGCGCCTGGGTGGCTCAGTCACTGGGTGGCTCAGTCAGTTAAGCGTCTTCAGCTCAGGTCATGATCCTGGAGTCCTGGGATCAAGCCCCGCATCGGGTTCCCTGTTCGGTGGGGAGCCTGCTTCTCCCTCTGCCTTTCCCCCTTCTTGTGTTCCCTCTCTCAAATAAATAAAATCTTAAAAAAACAAAATAAGGGTTGGCGGGCGCCTGGCTGGCTCAGTCAGTGGAGCATGCAACTCTTGATCACAGGGTTGTGGGTTTGAGCCCCATGTTGAGTGTAGAGATTATTTAAAAATAAAGTCTTTTTGGGCGCCTGGGTGGCTCAGTTGGTTAAGCGACTGCCTTCGGCTCGGGTCATGATCCCAGGGTCCTGGGATCGAGTCCCGCATCGGGCTCCCGGCTCGTCGGAGAGCCTGCTTCTCCCTCTCCCACTCCCCCTGCTTGTGTTCCCTCTCTCGCTGTGTCTCTCTCTGTCAAATAAATAAATAAAATCTTTAAAAAATAAAGTCTTTTTAAAAGAAATTTTTTAAATTTTTCACAAGTAATACATGTTTCTAGAGAGGGATAAAGCAGAAAGGACCTAGGGGGTGGGAAAGTCTTTCCAGAAGGGGAACTGGCCTTTCCAGAGCTAGTGCTCCACAAAGCAGGGCCAGGCATTCTTTCCAGTGCTGGGCCCTGGTGCTGGGGGCTCTGCCCGGCAAAGACAGTGGTAATTAGGCCAGGCAGACCGGCTCCTTCCGGGGTTTGGACTGAAGAATCCAGAAAGGGCTGGCCAGTTAGCAGGAGTTTCCGTGAATCTTCAGGATCCCACTCCCTGAATCTTCAGGATCCACTCCCACAGCTCACGGTGCTGTGAGCAACTCTGTTCCTTAGGACCAAACGTCACCAGCCCGCAGGGACGAGGGGCAGGCTTGAGAGGAGAGCGGCCAGCGTGGAGTCACGTGCTCTCCCCTGAGAGTGCAGGGAAGACCTCAAGGTTGGACGCCAATGTGCCTTTGTCGCCCCGCTTACAAGAGGGCCGGGCCGCGAACGGAACCGTACTTGCCCTTCTGACCACGGTAAAGGCAGCTCAGCGCTCTGAATGAAATGAGCGGTCTGCAACCTAAGACTGTCCCCCCAGAAAAACGGGTCCCTAGCCGCCTCCTGCCTTCCTGAAATGGGACGGACGCTGCTGCACCCCCACTTACAGAAGGTCTCCTGGCCCACACGCAGTTTAATCATGATCCACTCCATCGTTCCTCCCAGGACAAAAAAAAAGGGCAGGAACCTGTAGACGCCGAATCGCTGCTTCCCGGGCACCCGCTGCAGGATCTGCTTCACCTGGGCCCTGGAAAACATGCCCAACTCAGGTCGTGGAGAGGGGTACGGCGGAACCGGGAGCGACGGGAGCTGTCCCAGCCCCCGGACTGGAGCGCCCAGCTACAAACAAGTCCGAAGGCCTAGTGGCCGTGCTGCCCCGGCCCTGCTGTAGCCAGGCGGGTGCTGAGCTGAAGAAGTCGAGCGCTGAGCTGAAGGAGCCGAGCGCGGAGCCCCCGACCCAGAACCTGAGCGACTCCACCAATCAGAGTGCCGTGGGGCGCGCGGATCCGCCAATCCGAATGTGGCGGAGCGCGCGTGCTCCGTGAGGTCGAGCCCGGCCGGAGGGAGCAGGCGCAGGCGCCTCGGCTCTGGAGGCGGGGCGGCGCGAGAGGGCGGGGCCTCGCACGTGGCGTCGACCCGGCCCCGCCCCGGCCTCCTCTTTGCAAGCCAGCGCTTGGAATTGGCGGCGGCACCCCCTACTCTGCCACCGCCATCTTTTTTCTTAAAGTCCTGCTAGAAGTGATGATCCTCTCTGATGGACTAAAGGTGTACCGCACTTTAAAATGCAATTATGCAATGCTTTGCATTTATTTCGGGGTCGTGACTGATGACTAGAATTCTAAAAATAACAATTTGATATGCATTCTTGAAAGCTGAACTTTATCACAACAAAAGTCCAAGCAATCGCCTTGTGACAAACCACCCTGATATTAATAAAAGCTATCCTGTATGGGGCACTTACCGTTATGCAGGTTATACCGTTACTTTTAGGTCCTTTTTATGCATCACCTCCTTATTCACAATAATCACAGAAGAGCAGAGCGGCTCAAAAGCATGGGCTTTGTCAAACCACAAAATGGGGGCCTTTCTTTGATGCTGTGAGGATTTAGAGGGAATACAAATAAAGCACTTAACACAATGCTCGGAGCATAGTAACTGATCAATTACCATTAGCTAAAATGGGATGATGATGGTGGTGATGGTGATTTATTGGGAGCCAGCTCTTTACATGTATTCTAGAACCTAGGGACACTCCCCTCTATTTACATCATCCCCTTTCATGGATGGGAAACTGAGAAGTTAAGATTGATTGTACCTTACGCAGGTGACCCCTTTTAACTCGGAGAAGGACGACCGGACGGTGCGCTGCAGAGTGGTGGGCCCGGAATCACTGCACCTGCCTGGTTCTGACCTCAGCAAGTTCCTGTGCTTGCTGTAAAGGACTGTCACTCATTACCTAAGGCTAAAAAAACAACGGGGGCCTATCTTTGAGAAAGGAGACAACTATTACACAATCTAGGAACATCAAACGAAAACTTAAAGTCAATAAAAAAGTTTGGTGATGTGAACACAAAATATACAAAAATAGGCTAGAGAAGAGAAAGAGAGCAAGCATTGTCCCTGGCAAGGGTCACAGAGTCGAGCTGAGAGCAGCAGGCCCAGAGCTGCTTCCTGGATCACCCGCCTTCTCCTGGGGCCTGCCCTACCCAGCTCCGTGCACACTGGCTTGGAGCTCACTCCAGTTTCTCTTGGTGGCTCTGGGAGCCTTTCACCGCGGGGTACCCATCTCCCGCCCTGAGAAGGCTTACTTGTAGACAGGTCTCCAACGCCCTCCTAGCTCAGGTTTGGGCTCCCATGGGCCTACCCTTCCGCCTCTATCCCGCCCCAGCTCCTGGCCCAGGATCTGGCCCACCGTATGTAGGTTCTCAGCCAAGGTGCAGTGGATATTCAAATGGAGGAGCACCCCAAGGAAACAGTGTCCAGCTGGCTAGCTCCCACCGACAGGGCACACCGGTGCTAAATTGGCCTCCTCAGAGCCTAGCGCACGGCCTGGTACGCATGCGGACTCAGGAAACAGATCTGCGTAGAAGAAACACAGGTGGCGAGCGGTTGCAAGCAGGAATGCAGAATTTCGATGGAAAGTCTGGAGACATTGCCAGAAGAGACCACAGCATCTCAAGGGGGACCCTGTGCGGGAAAACGGAGAGTGGGGTCGGTGAGGCCATTTGCTGAGGTCAGAACCAGGCAGGTGCCGTGATTCCGGGCCCACCACTCTGCAGCGCACCGCCCGGTCGTCCTTCTCCGAGTTAAAAGGGGTCACCTGCGTAAGGTACAGGGAGGGGCAAGGAAGGGCTGCTTCAGCGGGCGTCGGCGGCGCTGCGGGTCCCGGGGTCTCACCGGCGTGGGGCTGGCACCGGGCGGCGCAAGGTAGGGGCTCTTTATTCACTAGAGTGAAACGGGCCGGCCTCTGGTCTGCGGGGAACAGGACCCCCGGCGCAGGACTGGCGGGGAGCGCGGCGGAGCTGAGGTCAGGAGGACGGGGCG